GGCGGGCACCATCAGCGCGCAGGGCGCGCCGGTTTCCGGGCGCCCTGGCTTGGCCGGGCGCTGTCAGGTCCCGCCGAGCCGTGACTGCGCCGCGCCGGGCATCCTGGCCCCCTGCCGCTCGGTCGGCGCTCTGCGCACCTGGTTGAAGGCCTCCACCAGCTGGCCCGCGGCGGCGCCAGGTGCGCGGCGGCAGATGGCGGCGATCCTGCCCTCGCCACCCAGCTGCTGGAGCATGAGGGCCTTCGCAACGGCCTCGGTGGTCCCGTCTCGCGCGCGCTGGTGGGGCAGGACGACGGTGTGCCGGAACCGGCGGTGCCTGGGGTGTGGCGTGTCGCAGAGGGCGGCGGGCCTGTCGGCGGCGCTCCCGCGGCCGCCCCGAGGCGCGGGCCGCAGGGCGCGCGTGGCGGGGCCGCAGGGCGCGAGCAAGCCCTCCAGGCGTGGCAGAGCGCCCCCCCCCCCTCGCCCCCGCCCCAGCAGCCAGCCCCTCCCGCTCACATCAGCGCGTTGATGACGGTCCGTTCCACCTGTGTGGCCGGCCCCAAGAGTTTGTCGACTTGTAGTTGGAGCGAGCCCGCTCCGTCTTGCGCCGCCGCACCGCCGCCGTCGTCGTCGATCTCCATGCGTGTCCTCCCGGGGCGGCGGATCAGCTCCTCTGCCCGACACTGCTGCCCCACCTGAGCGCCGCCCGCCACGCCAGCGCCGGCGCCCCCGACGCCGCCGCCGCTGCCGCTGCCGCTGCCGCCGTCGCCGTCGCCGTCGCCGAGACCGGCCTCGTCCTTGCGCCCCCGCTTCCGGCTCTCGCCTGGCGCCTCCTGGTGACCCAGACCTGTTGTTGGACGCAGAGCGGCAGCTGCTGTCGGGAGAGGCCTCCAAACCCACATATCAACCCAGGCGCCGAGGGCCCCGCGCATCAGCGCACCGCGCGGCGCCTTTCCAGACGGTCCTCCTTCAACACGGTCAGATTTTCCGCCCCGCACTCACCGCTCGACCGCGCCTGGCCGGACCCCGCCGGGCCACCTGCGCCGGCCGCCTCCGCCCGCATCCGGCCCGCTGCCTGGTCTACCGCCGCCGCATCGGGAGCTGCGGGCGGCGCCGCTGTCGCAGCCGTAGCCAGCAGCGCGGCAACCGCCGGCTGCTGCTCCCGGTCTGCCGCCGCCGCTCCCGCATCCGCCTCTGCGGTCGCAGCCGCCGCCTCTGCAGCTGCAGGCGGCTGCTGCTGGTCTGCCGCTGCCGCTCCCGCAGCTTCGGGCGGCTGCTGGCCTGCCTCCTCTGCTGCCGCAGCTGCGGGCGGCCGCTGCTCCTGGCCCGCCGCCGCCGCTCCCGCAGCTTCGGGCGGCTGCTGCTCCTGGCCTGCCTCCTCCGCTCCCGCAGCTTCGGGCGGCTGCTGCTGCTGCTGCTGCTGCTGCTGCTGCTGCTTCAGCAAGGCCTCGACATCTGCCCACTCGGCGTCTCGAGCGACCTCGTCCAGGGCAGCCTTGTACTCGGCGGCGGTCGTGGGTCCCAGACGCTTTCATGATTGCGGCAGCTGCTCCCTTGAGGGCAGCCTGCCCCCCGCCTGCCGCACTGCCTGCGCGAACACGTACAGCCTTGCAAGGCGCTTGAGTGTCGTCCTCTTGCGGCCCAGGATGGCATCGCCAAGAGTCTTGGGGTACGTGGCCTACGCGTGGGGAGGCGTGCAACGCTCGCTTGTGCCATGCAGGCGCGACTGTGGCGTCGCAGCGGTATGCGCGCGCGCATCCTCATCACCACCTAGCCCCGGCTGCGCGTGCGCACCTGGGACGCCCTGATGACCGGGCGCGCATCGAAGAACGAATAGACCCCGCGCCAGTTGCCGCTGACGCAGAGATCCACCTGGCACTCGCACTCCCCCTCGCCGCCGTCCGGCGCCGGCAGGGGGACGATCAGCTGCCGCACGTTCGCCCGCTTGAGGTCTGCCAGCCTGCCCTTCATGTCTTCCATGCACCTGGGAATGCCCCATCCGTCAGGTGCCCACGCGCGGCGCATGCACTGCAGCTGCGCCAACATGGCCGCCGTTGCCGTCGCTGCTAGTGTCGACGCCATGCCTCAACATGCTACACGTGTGTGCCGTGACGCGGCAACTAGTGCATACAAAGAGATTGATACGTGCGATGATTTCTCTGTGACGCGCGTGTGACGAGAGTCTCAGAAGGCCGTTGTCCGTCTGGCGTCCCGAGGCCGCGTGTCATCGTTCGTGCCACACGAGGCAGCGCTGCTGACACAACCGCCGTTCGTTATGGCTGGTATGTGTTTTTTCTGGTTTATTTTTTCGTTTCTGTGTTGGTGCCGACCCGTAAACACTGTATACCCGGGTCAGGCAAAGCTCCAGCTGCTGAACCGCCCCCCCAGGCCAGCAGTGCAGCAGCCAGGGCTGACCCACCACTGGCCAAAAAGTGTTGGACCTTTTCTCGATTTGTGCGTGTCATCCTTGCGCAGGGGCCATGCTAATCTTCTCTGTATCGTTCCAATTTTAACAGATGTTCCCGAGGGAACGATGAGGGGGCGGTCCCAAACGCATCACACCCTTGGCCAGAGCAAGCAGGGGCTTGAACAGCCTTGCAGTGCTGCCATGTCAGGGATTCGACCAGCCGTTGCTTCCGTTCACTTGTTTCAATTATTTATGGTATAAATATCACCTGTATAAATGGATGCGTTGTTTACTCATCCAACCACCGGAATTGACTGAACTGGCGGCCGAGCTTTTTTGTGACAATGTGCACACCCTTGATACAGCGAACCAGCCCGCGGTCCACTGCGCCTGAGTTACCCCGGGTGATACACATATATGATTATTGTATCAATTCAGCACTTGGCAGCTCGATGCACAGAAGCGCCGAGCGGACGGCCAGCATCGAGAGTGGTGCAGCTGGCGTTGACACTGTGTGTAGATGAAACAGCATAATTCGCAAAATTATTGCAAAAACCGAATACGGCCTGCGCGTTCAACGTGTGAAAGGGTGTGAGCGCCCCACTACAATGCCTGGTTGCCCGCAACTCGTCACCGGGGACACGAGCTGGCGTGGTGCGAGGGCGGCGCCTGCTGTGCTTCCCCGCCAGGCATTGCTGCTGGTAAAGAGCAAGATTACGGCAGCGTAAGTCCCGTCAACCGTACACAGGCAAGACGTTTCAGGTCTACACTCCACAAAAGTGCCGTTGTGCATGGCGAGTGCCACCATGCAACTGTGCTGAATTTTGAAGGGGACCCACAAACATACTAGAGAAACAGCAGAAAAGTGTGTTTTCAACAAAACCCAGTAACTTTTCCTGCCTGAAATCTCGGCCGAATGTCAGGAAAGGTTTGACTCATTGTTCGCCCCTCGCTCGCTTTATTGGAAACGACCTGCACTACAGCTACCCCCCCCCCCTGCACGCGCGTGCTCGCGCGTGTGCTCGCGAGCACGCACGCACGCACGCACGCACGCACGCACGCACGCACACACACACACACACACACACGCACACACACACACGCGCGCGCGCGCACACACACACACACGCACGCAGGGCACGCACGCACGCACGCACGCACGCAC